GCTAGTTCGTCATCCCTCCATGACGTCAGTACACTTCACGTGTGCTTCCTTTCATATGGTAATATGGGCGAGGGGGACCATCTGTCGTTTCCTATAACGCAACTCCTGTATCTGTTTCTCCACCCGTCCCTCCTCCGCGATAAGAATGTCCTCACTTTCATTTTTCAAAGTCGAATATGTGGAAATAAATAGTAAACACGCCACTTTTACCAAAGTAAATTTTCGTTTCTCCAATGGCATCACGCGATGATAACTTACTCTCGTAGTTTAAAATAAGTTTTTCATCGATGCTCGATTACGTCAGTGTTTTTTCATAATGAAAATGTATAATATCTTCTAAATAATGATTTCTGTATTCGGTTCGCGTAACGGGAGAAGGAATATTAGGCGATAAAATATTTTTATGCAATTTTATCAGAAGACCACGTGACATAATAATGAATGACCAGGCGTGATCATAATTGATGAGTTCTATTTTACGTCTCGTAGAAATTAGTCACTAGGAACCGATTCACATTATTATAGAATATTATAAATAATTTTGTTAACAAATAGATTTAGTGACAAGAACATTTTTATTCCGATTTTAATGGTTTAAAATTATTATTTTTCCCGAAAATCCTAAGGCTCTGCGGTGTGCGTAGTGTGTTTATAGAGTTGCATGGTCATTTTCAAATATTATAATTGCGATAAGCAGAAGGCCGAATGATTTTTACTGACGATACTTCACTTTTGGTAACAAGCAGAGTGGAAATCCATTTCTGCACTAATAGGGAGTCCATTGTTCCCCGAATCTGAGAGAGAAAGATCGAGGCAGACCCATCGCTCACGTTGTGTCATTCAAGTTCGTAGTTAAAGGCATCTGCAGTTCCTTTGTTCGAGCGGCAAGAGTACGTTGAAGCTAGGCAACCAGACGAGGGCAGCGAAAAATCTCTTTTGTTAGTCTCCTGTCCAGCGGTCCCTCGCTCTATGACTCATCGTGCGAACAACACTGAATAACAGCGTGTTGTTCATTGATGTGGAAATCGCCACGTGCCCTGTCAAAATCTCAAGTTCCAGCCTCCGCACACTCATCGTTTGTCAAATAATAGGCGAAAGCTTGACCGTTTGGATCCCCGCTTCTCGCTAGCATCTGGGATTTTTCCTTCTTTATTCGCAATTCATTGTTCTCTGTCAAAACAATTGATTTAGAATATATCTTACAGAATCGAATTTAAACATAGAGATCTACTATACAATTTTTTACCTCTTTTATCGCTGCTTCTTTTCAAGTTTTATAATCTACTCGCGTGCTGCCCGTAGATAGCAACTCGAATTTCACGTGGAAATAGGAGCGTGTGAAAGTAAAGAGCGAGAATTCTAGAGGGAGAAAAAGCTTAAGGACAGCACAACTGCAATGTTTGCATGCGATCGACTGACTGTGTCCACCTGGAAGACATTATTCGAGATACTCGAGATAAATGACACGTGTTGGGGATCGACTATGTTCTATCACCATTTACAGCGTTTTCAGTCTAGCTTCCATAGAAATCACATTCTGCACAAATTGATGCGCTATTCCCAGTGAGAAAACTGAAGTGTAGAAAGTCCCAATAGTTGGTTTTAACACTCAACATTCAATTTTTTAACCTGAGATCCAATTGTTAAAATTGCTTAGGCCTGGGCTTTTGGAGCAAGCATTATAATGCTTTTGAAATAAATTCGAATGGTTTTTTTCCATATAACAAGGTCCTTAACACAAAAATAAACGAAAACGTGTTTACAAAAATTAATTGCTTGATTTTTTATTACACACGTTTATTGATAAATAATAAAATGGTTTATGTGTTGGAGATATTGCTTTACAGCATAGCAAAAGGCTGAAATAAAAGAAAGTGCTATTTACAGGGGCGAAAAATGGACAATAACCTGTTCGGTGCTTTCTGTAACGATGCAGATATTTTATAAAATGGCATATTTTGTCGCAATAATACTTTTATCGGCAATTTTAAAACTTTAGCAAATATATAATAGTGTTTGAAATCAAATTTCAAAATGCCATGACCCACAATTCTTACTTCAAGTGCATGAATCGTTTACAGAATTCAATTTGGAAAAGAATGGGAAATTATACAAAAATTAAATATAATTTAATTATTGCTAAAAAAAATCGATTCTTTTTNTTAAAAATAATAAAGATCTGAACCAGAAACATGTCTAAAAAGTGCTTTAGAAATCCCTATAAAAATTAATAAATTTACAAACTAAAGCTCCAATACTACATCAACTTTTTATGGTTAAAGGCAAAAATATGAATTCTCCTTTTATAATATTTTTTTAAGTATTGCATTTATTTAGTGTCCTAAAATTTTAAAAATAATAATAAAAGCAGTTAATAGTAGTTAATAAAAGTAACCTTAATAAAAGTTACCTTAATAAAAGTTTAACTTTTAATGCAGAAAATTTTTATACGGAATAATATATTAATTTAAAAATGTAAAAGCAAAATATTAACGAAAAATAGTTAATAAATGTAGACTACAATTAAATTTCATTAAAGGTAAAAATAAATTTAAAAAACTTTTAAAACAAAATATTTTCTACGTAAATATTTAATAAGACGAACGTATGAATAGAATTACCTGATATTTCCTTTTGTAGATTTAAAACTGAAAGCTTTGTTTAACCTGCGGCGATTTTAAATCGCAGGATTTTCAATGATGCGTTACTTTATACGCTTGACATCCAATCAAATTTGATGTTAGATACAATTCTGAGATACGTAAGATTTTTCTGTTTTATTTTATATATTTAATAAGGTCAGTTTAAGGGTGTTCATAATCACGTGATTTGGAGAAAACAATATTGCCTGCCATTCTCATTACATAAAGTTATAATCTTTTTACACGCTTTTTATTAACTTACTGTGTCTGTCCAGATAAAATCTCGCAACTCAATTTTTCACCTATTTCCCCATTTCCGATTTAGTTGAAACTTTGCATACAAATATATTTCCCATGAAAATTAATGCAAACAATTTTAGCAATAGCAAAATTTAGCGAAAACGTCTAAGTTATTTTTTAAAAAGCTGATAACAGATGACGCTACACGTGAGACAGGCTCCTTGCTGCTTTACAGTAGTACTGTCTACATAAAATCTTATAATTCAAATTGTTTACCCACTTCCAAAATAAATGCTTAAACAAGAAGTATTTCGATAATTCAATGTTCCTTACATAAAACTAAAAAGCAGAAAATAAAAATATTTTAAAAACTTTTTAAGAAAACGATTTTTTTTTAATCACAGAAATACACCAAAAGATTAAATTTTGGGGATTATAGTAGAGCATCGATTATCCGACTCAATTGGGGACTGGGGTTGGTCGGATAACTGAAAAAACGGATAACCGAAAAATATGAAAAAAATACATTATTAGTATAGTATATTAGTATATCGCTATTAACCTGCTTCGCGTTGAATTTTTATCGATGTTAAGCCTAACAAATTTTTTAAAAAATAATAATCGTCGTATTGTATCCTTAAAAATTAGAAAATTACGCCTTGTTTAAATAATGGCTCTCTTTCATGGTCGAGTCAGTGTTGCCAGCTAAAACACGTAAAAATACTATTAAAGTAGCCAAGACATAGCCAAATATTGTAGCGCCACATCACTAGCGGCCATTTGAATTTGCCGACTAGAACGCGGTCGGTTAACCGATGTGGCGGTTGATCGGATAATCGATGCTTTATTGTATATAGATTACCACCTATAGAATCTCGTTACTTTTAGTATATATCTGAACTGAGGGGACCGAGACGAGTTCAACGATACCATACTTTTGGACCGGAGACTTAAAATAAGAAAGTTATCATACTTTTTTAATGCTATCATGCAGACCACACCGTATTTACTAGTGTCGCCATCTTGCGGTAAAGTCTTCAAACCATTAAAAAAAGCACTGTGAAAGGCAAGAAATTGCACGAACAGTCGAACATCACTTCCTTTTTGTTCTTTTGTTCAAGAACTACCGTGAATCAATAACTAGTGACGTTAAACACTCGACGGTCCCCCTCCGGGAGGTCCGTCAGGAGCACGAACAGTCGAACGCCATCTAGTGCAAAACTAAAATGGCGTAGAGTGCATTGCGAAAGGCAAGAAATTGTATATATGATAATTTTGTTATTTTTCGTCTCCAGTCCAAAAGTAGGGTATCGTTGAACTCGTCTTGGTCCCCTGAGTTCAAATATATACTCAAAGTTATGAAATTCCATAGGTGTAATCTATAGTACAGCCTAAATTTTTTCAGTTTTCACAGCATTCTTAATATTATGCGATCAAAAATAAAAGCGTGGGCACTCGTAAGAAGCCGCAAAAATTGATAGAATATGGAACTAAAAATATTTCTAAACATTAGCGCTCCACGCTTTTATTTTTGGTTCATGATTCAAAGAATGCTGTGAAAGCTGAAAAAAATTATTTTTTACTTTTTAATACATTTATGTGAATAAAAAAGCATTTCTTTAATTTTTTTTAATTTTTTAAATTAAGTTTTGTTTCTAAATAGAATAATGCCAAATTCTTGCTGTGCTGTCGATTGTATAAAAAAATTAAATAAATAAATAACCCAAAGACTTCATGCAGAGAGAAAATCATAACATTTCGCTTGTTTTCTCATCAAAACCCGAATTAATGAGAATAACTACACAAGATAAAAACATTTTAATCTAAAGCAAATATCCAAAGTCAGATTGAACAGAAAATTAGACCCCAGGAAAGCTAGAATATAGGCTACATCTATTTATACACACAAGATGTGTTTTAAAGTTATAATGCAATAAATATTAAAATATAACATTAATACATTAATTTTAAAAATTCCAGCAATAATTTGCGTAACGTTTACGGTGTATGAGATTTTNCAGAAAAATACTTTATGAGAGCTTTTATACTTTTATAAAGCTGTCTATAATGAAAATTGATTAACTAAGGATTTTTTTGCCCTGCCAGGGTGTGGCCGAGTTATCCGGAGTGCCGGGTTATCGAGAGCCGAGTTTTCGAGGTTCTACTGTAATGATTTTTTTTTTTTTTTTTGACAAAAGTCATGCAGTAAAACTTTGTAAATAAATCAATTATTTGATGAACAATGATTAAAGTATGTAAACTACTGTATACATTACTAAACCTTAATACAAAAAAATAAAAATTCATTACAAATCTACAACTGTTAAAATTTTGAAACACAGTATAAGATTAATCAAATATACAATCTATGAATGAAAATGATGAATCTACATAATATACAGACAATATCAAATTTTTATTCCACAAAGTTTAATAAATTATAAAATCTTTATATCTTTATATAACTGAACTAACTCTTTGCATAATCTGTGGATCGGAAGACCCATTACAGTAAAATAATCCCCTTGTATTCCTTCAATTATTGTCCCGCCAATTTCTTGTATTCCGTACGCTCCGGCTTTATCCCTAAAAAACAGATATTTTTGTAAGACTATTTAACATTTTATTCATTTTTTGGTTTTGCATTATATGCAAAACAGTAATAAAAATTTTATTTTAGTAAATATAAAATGAAAAATCGTTTCATTTTCAGGATAGTGATGAGTCGTATAAAAATTTTTAAATGCTAAGTAAGATCATTAAGTCCAATCCATCTAGGACTTTAAAAGCCAAAATTTAATAGCATCGATTCTTCCTATACAGAGGTTATGGTGCCAAATTTCGTGTTTTAATCATTACCTCACTTTGAGATATTAAACGAAATAGAAACCAACACATGCAATCGTAAAATACCTATACATATCCACGGTGACGGCCGGATGGCCGAGTGGTCAAGGTGATGCGTAACACCAAAAATGTCCTCACGGTAATTTTGACAAAAAGGCATTGACTGCAATCACATGATACGCATCCAATGGTGAATTAACTGCACCACACATGCAAATATCTCTTCTGTAATTAAATAAAAACTCAATGAATTACACATAACTTGCATTACCGTATTATCTATAATAAAGAGAAAATAAATAACAGGCGCCCGAACCTTTCGACTGGTAGGCCAAATTGCGAATAAGTCATAGGTAAGTGGACCACAAATATTTTGAATATTTCACATGTACAGAAAGTAGGCCTGTTTCTATCACTTGTAAGTTATGTGTTAATTATGATAGTTGGTTAGAGGGCAGTAGTTTGGGCACCACTGACATAGACAATATAATTTCTGAAATTTTATATAAATTGTTTCTCGTTTTCTCCATCACTTGTAATCACCACTGATTGTCTCGGAAGTTAAGTATTCATTTATTTTTAAAAGAATTTAAATATTATAAATATACAAAATATAGATTTTAAATAAAATAAAGAACAACGAAGCCATTGTAACCTGTTCTTCGGTTTCATATTTTTAGTAGTTGTGTATTGCGTTCTATGTGGTTGCATCATTGATAAAACTTTTCGAAAATTTCAAATAAAAGGAAATGTTGGAAATAGATAATCTGAGTTGACGTAATTTAAAATTTATGTCTATTGTTATATCTAATTTTTGTGCCATGGTCGTAAATTTGAAAATTACACTGTCCGCAATGAAATCCTGGATTAACTTATACCACAAATTGTTCTTTTTTTTTAACAAAACAAAATTGTAAGTTGCAATGAAATCGTGGATTCACCTGTTCCATAAATTTACTTTTTATTTTTTAAGTTAACTTATTACAAATAGTCCTTACATTCAAAATTTCATTGAAACCTGCCAGCCTTTTTTTACTCAGTTTTCATAATTCCATATACTGTATGTTAAACCAAGCCAGGTCAGGTCAAAGAGTATGGTTAGATTTTCATTAAACCGAAAACTAGATGGAAAAACTTCAAATATAAGATATGGACTACGTTATTATGTAATTTTGGTTACTTAATGAAATTACGGGTAATGAATACATAAGGAAAACTGCTTCTCTGTTAGTGAAATCGCTGTAACGAATTTATTAGGAAAAATACATTTCGTTTATTTTTATTTACCATATTGTTGAAGATATTTATTCTTTAAAAAATATTTTTACATAATAGTTACATGAATTTCTTTTTAATTAAATATCGTTTATTGTTTGCATGTTTATTGTTACCTTTTATTGAGTCAATGATGTTTTGAATATATATGAAAAAAATTCGAAATAAACAAAACATATTTTGAAAAAAATCTTTAAGATTAGTATCTGTAGTTTGTAATCGCAGAGAAGACCAGCAAACCCATCGACTAACGAGTACGATCTCATAGATGTAATCAAAAACTACTATTTGTTATAAATTGTTTATCTTATTGCATTCCTCGTGTACTAAGAAAACCTTTTTCTCCCCATCTATTATTTAAAAGCTAACAATGTTACTTTGTTCACAAATTTCCCATTAATCAAATTCAGCGAATGAAGTCTCAAATTAAACATCGCGAATTTTAAATACTGTATGCAGAAAAACTGTAAAATTTTATTTCAACCTGATCGAAATATATTAAAGTTTGCAAATGCTATTTTAGAAAGTTTTGGTCGTCCATGCAACCAGCAGTACTATCACGTGGTCTATTAATCTAAAATTAGAATATTTTGCAGAAGATAATTTATATCTTAAATTAATTTCCTTAACGTGTTTATTCCATAAAACTGCAAAACTTCAAACATGTATGCAACATTTGTATTTATAAAAATGGTTACATTTTGCCACATGGCTATCCGAGTTATCACATGATTTACGTTGAGGATATTATTTCATAAGCAAGATGTTAAAAATGTTGAATTTATTACGTTTTATGATAATTATACAAAATAATTTTAATGTATAACTATTGAATGAAACATTGAAAGTCTTTGACTATAAATGTCTACCAGTGCACCTGGTTGTGGCCACGTGGCGATCTGCATGGCTTAATACTTTATTAAATGTAATTATATTTTAAATTCAAGGTTAGGAAGTTATTACAAAGAGCCGAATTGAATGCACACGCATGTTTTTTCCTTGAATGTTATGATGTCGAAACTTCTATACAAACAGTTTGGGTCTAAGTGGATCAAATCAGTACTGAATTAAGTCTTTAGCAAACCCTAGACAAAATTTAAATAGGGGGCCCCATTTAAATAACTTGCTTCCAAAAATATCTTAAATAATGTCACTTAAAAGTTTTATTAATAATATTGAATTAGTGTTTGTATTCTCTGTTTTTTTTATTTTTATTATTATTTGTTTATTTATTTATTTATATTTTNTATATTTTGAATGAATTTTAGTTTTTTACAAGGGGATTATTAAAGTATTACATAAAGCTAGAGTTAGTACAATATAACAAATTAATGTAATAGACTGATAACAAGATAATATAAATTAAAATACACAATAATAGTCATATTTCGAAAAATGCAATAAATTAATTGTATCTTTCCAGGATTTAAATCTTGTCAAATACTTTTCCTGCTTGCATCAATTTCATACAATGAAAGAAAACATGTTCCCATGTTTCATACATTTGCATACTACAATTAGTACAGATTCTCTCAGGATCTATTATCAGTCTACTATTATATGTCAAAATATAATTTTGACCATATCTCAGTTGCAGTATTGAACATTTTACATGATAATTTGTGTCCATAAACAAATAATCCTCACATATAAAAGTTGTTTTAATACTAAGATATAATTGAAAATGTTTGTTCTTTTCCAACAAAAATCAATCTTCTTGTATGGTTTGTTCACAGCATACTTTTAAAATTAATGTTGGATAGCTTTCAATCAAATGAGGATCATGAGACAAGCATAGAAAGGAGAAACCATGTCGATCTAGCAGATTTTTCAATACCAATAACCAATTATATGTGTAATTATCCATTAATGAATACAATTTATAAAGTTTGTTATATGCTATTTTAACATAATTTTTATCATCTAATTTCAAAAGTCTAATCCAAAATTAAAACTCTTGCTTTTATTATTATTATTATTACTGATGTTCTAGAAACACCAAATAAGCTGGAATTTTATTATATAACATTCCATTTTATTGTAATAAGTAACTGTCATACAGGAGCAGCATAAAACAGTATAGATGAAATCATTAAGCAAAATAACTTTACATAAAGATAAGCTTAATTAATTTTAGCTCTTGAAAGAATAGGCCAGATAGAAGTCATTGCCATTTTAACCTGCAAAAATTGTCCAGAAAATGAAAATTATACTTCCAAGTGTATGTAATTTGAAATGACTTGTAAAGGCTGATTTTTAAAAAACCATCTCTCTCTTGGTGATCATCTACCACCTTTCTTGAATACCATTATTTTAGTTTTAGAAACATTTATAATTAATCCATAGCCACAGAAAAATTTCTCCAGAATTGCAATTTTATTTTATAACATTTGTGGAGTATCAGCAAGAATTATAATGTTGTCAGCATACATTAATACGTGTAACTCGATTTGATCAGAGAGAAAGAGAAATCCCAGATAAGTCAGATTTAGCAAGTCAAACTATCAGACCATTAACATAAAAATTAAAAAGTAACAGGCACAGAATTTTACCCTGCCAAATTCCAATGTTAATACCAAATAAATCATTCATTTTGGCTAATATCTTTACTCTTTCAGTGGCTTTGGAATATATAGCAATTATAAATCCAAGAAACTGTTTATTCAAGCCCATTCTTTCCAATAGAGACTATAAAACTGATTAATTGCTTCTTTTATCTCCTCTATGGTAAAATCTGAAAAATATTCTGCCTATATTGGAAACACTTTATACACATACATCAACAAGAAGAGTATTATCTTTAGAATTTTGTAGCATAAAAATTGAACCATATTTCCAAGTGAATTCTTGAATTATAACCCGATGGACTTTTACGTTTTAAGCTGTTAATTATTTGCCAAAATATTTTAGAGTTATTGAATGTCATCAATCTTTTATTTAAGTTCCAAAAGTAAGATTTTTTTTCTTTTGACATAATAGTTTATATTCTTTTAAATAACTTTTACAACAAAACATAAGTACTTGAGTTTTTTGCCTTCTTAAACCATTTCCACAGATTTTTTCTCAAGGTAGAACACTTATTATCATACCATAAATTTTTTATATGGCTTTTGCAAGGTATGGATTTTACATCATAAATTAAATCTATAGACATTGCCACCTTAGCTATACATTCCCCTAAATCATTGGATGTGATGTTTCCTCTATATTCATCTGATAGAGCATTATCTAATGTAACAGCAAATGAAAATTTAAATTCATCTCTCCATATTGCATGTTTACCAAAAAATTGTCTATTAAAAACTCTGGATGATATCAATAGAATCATTAAAAGAAGAACAGATGAGTGATCTGAGCCTATCTATGATAAGACAAAGAAGTCATTTACAACATGAAAATATATTTCTTGTGACACTATCATGAAATCAATTATGGACAATAATTATAACTGATGTAATCATCAATGTAATCCACTGGTTCCCTTGCATTGTAAGTAAAATTACCCGCTTTATCTCCTGGCAATAAACCATTTAGACAAACAGGACTGTTATCCTCAAAAATGATAGTTTTCCCTCTATTATTAACAGTAGAATCCTTTGAAACCTTCAAAGCAATTTTCCAGTCACCAGTAAAACGTGACAAATAATCAGGATGTGCCATTCTAGCATTAAAATCTGCACATAAAATCAAGTTAGTTCCATGTAACATATAGTTTTCTATAAGCAACAAAGTATTTTTGAAATAATAATCATAATTATTGTCAGGTTGAATACAGGACACTATTAACTAGATATTAGTTAATTCCTCAGTAGTTGTAAAATCAGTATAAAGTAGAAACTGATATTTCAGACATGAAATAACAATTTAACCTTAGCGATTGCATCTAATCTAAGCCCAATGATTAAGCCTCCACTGGGTCTTCCAGGTTCCTCACAGCTTTGAGATATTTGACAATAAATTTTTTTATAATCATCAGAGAAAACTGATTCAATTACTGAAGATGTATGCCATGTTTCTACCAGATAGAATATATCCATATTATATATCAACTTCCATAAATTAGGGAAACAGTATTAATTATATAAACCTGCAATATTATAAAAAAAATTTCATATTATCATCTTTATTCAAATACTAGATGTGGATGTTTATGTACTTTAAAAATTGGTCTGCAAATATAGAGTTTTACAAAAAAAAAAAAAATTTATCTGCCTAGTTAATTCCAATAATCAAGGAACAATTTCATGACATGAAATCCTGTATCTTCCAGGATGATTCTGCATCATGTCACCCTATCAATATAGTGAATAAAGAAAGTATAATGTATTTTTTCTCTATAGTTTGTTAGCAATATTGTCACTTAAACTATAAATTATCACACAAATTGTTGTTAAGGTAAAATATTTCTATAAGAGGCCCAGATAAGAAGGTTAAGCAGGTAAAGTAGTAGTTTTGATATCAAACTTATTGAGAACAGATGGCTTATTATTGACACAAAAATTGCAGAGGTCTGAAAAAAAAAAAACAGAAACTGCAGGAGTGTATTACAAGAGTTTGGTATTACAAACTTGGTACAAAATACTTGAAGAAACTCATCGATTTTTATGCCAGCCCTGCAAAGCTGTTATTAAGACTTGAAGTGGTCCTAATGAAAATGAAATATTAGGATCCCATTCAACAAGAAATAACTATTGTTTTTTCAGGTGTATTTACACTGTGAGCCCTTTTTTTGTTTCCATAACTGTGGACAGAAAGTTCTTGAAACAGTGTTCATTAACAGTATTGATGAACCTGTGTGATATAACACAAGTTCAATGCAGTATTAATTGAAATAAACTGAACTTTTTTGTTTATTCTAGTTAGTATCTTCTCTGTAGTATTGATACATATGTTATTACTAAACACAATCAAAGCTTAAATATGCTACTTTATGCAATTATCAAATGCTTTTTGGAATATGTTATCAGTAATATAATTTCCATGGCTGCTACTTTATGCTTCCACTGGTACTGCCACTAGGCACTATGATTCATTGAAACTACTGATCCACCTCAACACTCTCTTGCTAATCATCTCAATAAAGTTGCAGCCATGGAAATTATTATACTGAAACATATTACAGGCTAAACATATTTCTTATACATAACTAAAAATTTGACTACTCAAAAAATTAATTTGAATTTCTATTATTTTCCAATATGGTTCTAAGATTTAATCAACTTAAAGATTTTTTTGTAAAACTCAACTAAAACAATAATGTGTTTTCTATTAGACAATTTCTATTTTAATACATTAAAATAGGAAGAGTTTAAAGAAAAATTTCAATATAAATTGTAGTCATCTAATAAAATAAACTAAAAAAATGGAATTTTATCTATTCCTGTAAGTAACATTTTACTTTCTTAACATTTATTGTATCATTAACTAAACAAAGCTAAAAATTTTATAAACATATATCTAAGAACCAAATTTATTTTGTATGGATTAATTCTTAAGCAGTAGAACCCCGATTACCTGAGGTAATGTGAACCAATACTATCTTGGATAAAATAGATGGCCAGGGCCATTCCAGATAAAAAATTATGAATGTAAAAAATTTATATGGTAGCAATTTTAAATCTCTTTTTATATCTTAATGAATTTAATCATTTTTCATTAATCATAATATTATATATAAGACCAACATTTTTACATTATTTATTATACAGCTAATGCAAATAATGGTTGTAAGAATAAAACTGTGTATTATTTTACTTACATTTTATCAATTTCATCAATGGTTTGCCTTATATTGAAGTTAAATGATAAGAAGTAACAGAAATAAATCANTTAAAAACTGATCTTTGGAGGCGAATGTCTTATGAAGGGTCAACAATTCTGAGTTAGTGCAAAACCCCTCATTCAGAGCTTGAATCTTACTTGGGCAGTGTTTTCCTTTTTAATTTTTTAAATATAAATAAACTTCACACAACTATAATTCATCAAACATTACATCATAAAAAGTTTATTTGGTAACTTTAAAATTATACTAACGATATTCTTTAAAATTTGCTCTCTGCGAGGTGATCCACTGGCTAAAACTATACGTTGTGTAGCGAGCTTATGCAATATCGGTTGAAGCATCTTCTACAATTACAGAATATTATCAGATTTTCATTTTAAATATTTTAAAATATGCCGCAGTTGAAAAATTTACCTCTACAAAACGTAAACAATCTCACTTTCCGCTCGCTCTCAATCGATCAAAAATCACGTGGCCGGCACCCTTACAGTCGTTTACCGCCATCTAGATATTAATATAAAAACATTCTCAATGACAACAAAATAATTGGAATCAAAACTACACATTAAAATCTGTTAGTAAATAAAGAAACAGTTGAAGTTACAGAAAAGTTGAATACTTCACTTTATTACTTTAAGTTTATCCAGGCTATTGGATGTTAAAAAAAAAAATTCAAATTTAGCAGATAAAAGAAAATAAAATAAATAAATTGGAATATTTTGAAAACTGAAATGAAAATTCAGAAATGCACAGTAGATGAAAACAATAACCATATTTAAGTTTTATTATATTTATATATTATTTTTAAAGTTTTAATGTAGATCATATGATTTACATTACCTTTTGTAATTTCAATTTTTCTGCAACTTGTAAGGCTTTACATTTTGCAGTTTCTTTAACAAATTCATAAGGTTTCTCAAAACTACTTTTATCAAGGTTTTCTTCAAATGTAGATGGAATAACTTCAAATTTTAAATTCTGCAAGAAAAACAATAGATTGTATTTAAAATAGTAAGTACCATATTTTCTTGATTCTAATGTGCCATTGAATCTAATGGTCATCTTATTTTTGCAACATTCAAACCCCCTCAAAAAAGTTAGCTCGCAAATGTATTGCATGCCCTACATTGAAAATGCAGCTGTAAAAAGTTAATGCATTTATAAACAGTAATAAATGCATTTTTTGAAAGCATTTTATTTTCATGTTACAGTGCTTCATGGTATTCATGTCTTCAAATGTATTCATTTATGATTCCAATATCAGGTACAGAGGATCTGGACCAATACAAAATTACTCTACAATCAATATAAGCAAGTTTTCAAGTCAGCATACATAAGCAGTAAATTTACCAAATACATAGTATCATACTGAAATATAATCATACATGTATACATGTTCTTCAGCATAATGGATAACACACTGTTTAAACACAGCTTTATAGGATATTCATCTGCAGGACATTGCTTACATGACTTGCCATAGTTCAAAAGACCATCAAACCAATCAAAAACCAAAACTAAGTACTGGAAGGGACATGTACTGTACAGTATGATGATTATAACATTGTAATACATGCAAATTGTGAAGCAGGGTGAAAAACAAATGACACAAACAAGCCTACATTTAAATTGTCTTTATGCATGCCCCAATTTTTGAGATCAGGAAAGTCCAAAAATGGTATTCATTAGAATCAAGAAATATGGTAAAGTAAAAAAGTACTTATGATAGATTGAAAATTACCATACAACAATTTGGACATCTAAACCACTTCTAAATATAGTTTTGTTTTGCACTTTTCATCAAATATCTAATATGCAATTTTTTGAAAATAAAATAATCTCGTTAATATTGATAGAAATATATTGTTACAAAAATTTGGAATTAATAATGATCAAAATCATGATAAAATATCAATGTTCATTATTAATTATCATCATCATCACTACTTTATCTTTAAAATAAACCATATTTCTAGAGTAAGGCCAATTATTACATTCTATTTATTTAATATGTTCATTGGTATCAATCCAAATATATGGGAGAGTGAATGTATCCCCCAATATTTTTGTACCAGCAAATTATTTCCACCAATATATTTTTATTTCATACCATATTACAAATATTTAAAACAGAAACAATGGTTCTTTTCTGTTAATGGGACATCAGACGTAACTTTAATCCAATGTGTGATACCGGCATCCACGTTGCTCTGCTAAGACTATCGCATTTAACCATTTAGCCCACAAAACCGTGCTGACTTTGAGTAGCCCACTTGACTTGACTGTTGATGGAGTACTTGATGTTATATAGTTTTAGGAGGTGTGGGACTCGCCCCACCCGGGCACTGAGGTGATTGCTGTCGCTCACACCGAAGCAAACGACTACATGCAAATCACATAGAATAGGCAGTATACTGATACATATTAAAAACTGATCTTTGGAGGCGAATGTCTTATGAAGGGTCAACAATTCTGAGTTAGTGCAAAACCCCTCATTCAGAGCTTGAATCTTACTTGGGCAGTGTTTTCCTTTTTAATTTTTTAAATATAAATAAACTTCACACAACTATAATTCATCAAACATTACATCATAAAAAGTTTATTTGGTAATTTTAAAATTATACTAACGATATTCTTTAAAATTTGCTCTCTGCGAGGTGATCCACTGGCTAAAACTATACGTTGTGTAGCGAGCTTATGCAATATCGGTTGAAGCATCTTCTACAATTACAGAATATTATCAGATTTTCATTTTAAATATTTTAAAATATGCCGCAGTTGAAAAATTTACCTCTACAAAACGTAAACAATCTCACTTTCCGCTCGCTCTCAATCGATCAAAAATCACGTGGCCGGCACCCTTACAGTCGTTTACCGCCCTCTAGAAAAAATAACAGTTTGAAATATTATTTTAATAACTAATTTATTATATTTTAAAATTATATAATATTTCTTAGTATAAGTTTTTATTGTAGGTGTTAAAAATTATTACAATATAAATTTATAAATATTCTTATTACTCATTTATATAAATTTGTCGTCTGCTTAAAACGTTTCGGAATCAACGCCACCTATAGTTTTAATTAATAAGGACGAACGTGGAGTAGAGATGAGAGCTAATCTGCTCTTGTCGAAAAGGAACTTGTTAGATTTTATTGAATATAATTCGTATTTAAATAAGATAATTTTAACAAATTATGTATATAAAAGATTAACTCTAGCGTTTAGATGTAGTAACAATCTCGTAAGATGTCAAAGGTGAGTTAATTAATAATATAAACAACAAATTGCTATTTTATTTATACAAATTGATAAATATATAAAATTTATATGTCTTCAGATATTATTCAACAAAAGAATCGAGGGAAGGAATCCAACAAAGCTTCAAGGTTAAGTTATTTTATTAATTTTTAAAAATAATTATTTTGTTTGTGATTTGTTGGAAGTTACCATTAGACTATTCATTTGTGTGTATGTGTGTACATTAGCAATTAAATTTAATTAAATTAGAAAAGTGTGTAAGGTGTGTTTAGTGTCTTTATATATCAAAACAGTTATATAGAACCAAGCATTGAAGAAAATTTATAAAGACATACCATGTTAAAGTAGGTTTCATGAGGAATCCTATCATATACACCCTTTTCAAGAATGTAAAGGATATCTGATAGGAATCATATTCTAGGGATATATGCTATCCTCATTGAAGGCAAGAGGTTCAAGGAATACATTGGAGTGACTTGAGGAAAATGCTGCCAATATAAAGAAAAAGCAACCTGTAATCATCCTGGTAACTTTCACCATGGAAAATGATACATAACTTTTCCTAAAAGTTACCAAATTATTAAAACCATCATGGAGATTTCCCAGATTGAAACACCTTAAGTAATTAGAAATTTACAAATTTATCTTAAAATCCAAGGCACTCAACTAAGAATGTTGATTCTATATTAAAATACCTGGAAGTTAATATTAGAAAATCACCAGAATAAATATACTTAACTGATCATATAAATCATATAGTGCATATATAATGTAACATATATATAATCCAATCAGATTTACTTCATAAAATTTAATTTTTGTATTATAAAGTTCTATTATTATTTGGATAGGAGACAAATTATGGAAAAATTTATCAAGTTTTAAGATACAAATTGAAATTGGAGAGAGTAATAATATTGATTAAAACATAGATTAATTAAATGTAAAGAAAGCAAATGTGTGATCACTAAAGGTAAGGTAAATGTTTGTGTTTTTAGGAAAAATTGTGATGACAGATGAATATGTGGCTCACAAATAAATTTTTACATTTTCTAAAGAAGCAGACAGTGAGTTTAGATAAAAGAAAAATGTGCTTGATGAGTTTGTAATTGCAAATTAAAATTGGCATATAACTCTGTCACATGGCCATGCTGCATCCCTTCAAATTGCATGAAATTATATTAACTGTTTAAAAGTGATGTTATTTTTTTTTTAAAAAGTTTATGCTTTAAAAATAAATATGAATTTATATGTATTAAATTTTATAAATTCTTGGAATCAAGTAGTTGTTCAGAAGAATTTTTCACTGAATATACAGTAAGGGATGTGGTTTATAGATTCCAGAGGAACTGGGTAGTTTTTANTAAAATTTCATATTATATGTAAAAACGCATAATATTAATGTTTTTTTTTGAATCCAAAATTTTATAGTAAGAACAAATTATTCCAAAAATATTTTATAATAAAAATATTTATTATAAAGATTATTTAATAAGTATCTTAATACATGTATAAATTATTTTAATGTGTTGTTTATACATTAAAATAATGTCAATCTCAACAATTGATTTGAATATTGTTAAATCTAATTCCACCAATGTATAACTAAAGAATATTAAAATGAAACATTATTTATCAACAAAGTGGATCAAATTTTATTATTTTATTTTTCCAGTCTATTCTATAAACAATCACTTTTTCTATTCCTAACTCTAACATATCTGTTTTAACAAATACCTCTCAAGATTCCTTTGGCCTATTTATACTATTTATACTTATTTCTTTTTACTAATTTTGCTTCCTCTCTTCTCACAAGACACTCTAACCATCCAAATTAATTTTTTTCTCATTTTATCATCTAAATCAATTACATTTAGAGTCTTTCTAATCAAACTATTTCTGGTTCTATCTTTCAATGTTGTTTTATCTATATATTTAGGTATTCTAACTTCAGCTATCTGCATCTACTTAATCTTTTTATTTCTCAACATGCTATTCATTGAACAGCTGGTCTAATTACATGTAATAATTAGTCTTCCATTTCTATCATTCTAAATTTATCCCATTTACCATATCTAAATTAATTCTCTATCTGCAAGTAAATATAAATGTAAATATTTGACTTTACCATTTTATTTTGAATTTTTTTCCTTCTTTCTGAAACCCTACCTAATTCTAAACTCTGTTTAATGTATTTTAATTTAATAATTTTAAAATCCATTCTCTAACCATTAGAAATTTCTAATGGTTAGAGATCAATCATCAGAAATTTTTAACTAATCCCTAACCAACTAAAAGATGGTTAGGGATTGGTTAATAATTTCCTAACTTTGCTTTTTCTGCATTAAAAAGATTGTATCATTTTTAAATAATCAAACTTTCACTCATTGCTCAAATATTATTGACACTAATAAAGAATTGGAATACATTAGAGGCATAGCCAAAGTGCATGGATAAAGCAAAAAACTTATTCCAAGTCTAATGAATAGCATTCAGAACATGATTGATCAGGATAAATATCTAGCAGACAAAAAAGTGCATGGGCATACACATGAGCAAAAGCAAGTCATAGTAGATTTTTGCCTCACTTTACTACCGTGTTTCCCCAAAGATAAGATAGTGTCTGATATTAATTTTTGCTCTGAAAGATGCACTAGATCTTATTTTCAGGGGATGTCTTATTTTTTCATGAAGAAGAATTCACATTTATTTTTGAACAAAAAAATTCCCAAGTCGAACTTAGATGAGAGTGACGTATATCTGGTTGTGTCGAACTGAACTTAAATAAAACTGAAGTCACAAGCTGAAGGTATGTGAAAGGGACTTTAGGCCAAGAACACACATGAATAAAATTGTGTGGCAGAAAACTGAATCAGAAATCAAGTTTCAGTTCAGTTTCTGCTTCATGCTTTTATGCCACATACATAAAAATTCTGGCCAAATAGGAAACAGAAATATAACAACATCATATGTAGTTTAGTAAAATGGTGCTGTTGGTATCTGATGTTGTTATTTGTTGATGGTTGTATTCCACTTAATCATTGATGATTTTAAAAAATTATTTTATTAAAAGATGCTGGTGGGTTAAGAAACTATTTCAAGAGCGTGATTTACATGGATTTAATAATTTGTTGATTCCGGAACTACAATTTAATGATTGAGAATACCACTGCCGCTAAAGTGCTATATTTTATTAATTTTTTTTTTCTCATACATCTATATCCCATTGTACCTTCCATTTTTTCCTCCACTGCCTCTGCTATAATTTAGAAATTTTAAATTAATAGACTTGTATTCCAAATTGAAATAAAGAACATGTGATCTAACTATTACATATTGATTCTACTAGACCTAACTGTTATTTGAAATTTAGCATCTATGGCCATTCATACACTTTGTTTAAACACAGTGTTTTTATATGTGACACTTTTTGTCATAAAGACACTGATGTAGTTGAACAGATTTGATAAACTCCTCTATTTCATTTATTTTTCTTTTTTTCGAGATTGTCACAATTGTAGGGTTAACCATCATTGCTGCCATTGTTGCCATTGTTAGAATAAAACCACGTGTCTACTTTGACGTCACAAAACAGACTTCTCTTTATTGAAGGAATTTTGGTGTAAAAAATAGACACATGCTCTACTCTTTTTTCAGTTATGTTTCAGCCAAATAATCAGAAAAATTTTTACACTTTCTGTTTTATGCTAGATTTTACGCATATGTGTTCCTGGCCTTAGAAGTTTAAAAAGAATATACTCTGGTGATTTACCATGACAATGTAAATTTAAAATATTTTAAGGATATTTTAATTGCAACTGTAGGTTTGCATTTGTTTTAATTTTATTTGTGACAGTATTTATTAAAAATATTTTTTATATAAGTTAAATTTTCATTATGTTCAATAAACAAATCTAATCTAAAAATAGAGTGCATCATGCATATGTTAATTATGCATGATGCACTCTATGCATATGTTAATTAACGTGTCCAAATCTAATGTTTATTTAATAATTTACCAAACATTTTGTTTTTGATTATCCAAGATACTCTGATCCATGTTACATTGGATAATTGGGACTCTACTATATTTAAATGTAATAATCTATGCTTAATAATTATATAATTTTACTTTTGATATGTATTGAAGGCAAAGAACAAACAAATAAGTAAATTTTTGAATTTGCTTCTAGAAGTACAATAGAATTAAAAGATTAATAATCAAAAAATAATAATGCCAAGTTTTAAATATTAGTTAACCAATATAAGTTATATTAATTTATAAATGTTTATCCCAAGGCACAATACCTACTGATATTAAAAATGAGCAAGTATTGGATAAATTACCTGTGGAAAAAGAAAGAGGCATAACAGTAAAAGCACAAGCAGTTTCTATGTTGTATGACTATAATGGGAAGACTTACTTATTGAACTTGATAGATACACCAGTAAGTTAACTTTTATCAAATTAAAATTTCATATTATATGTAAAAACGCATAATATTAATGTTTTTTTTTAATCCAAAATTTTATAGTAAGAACAAATTATTCCAAAAATATTTTATAATAAAAATATTTATTATAAAGATTATTTAATAAGTATCTTAATACATGTATAAATTATTTTAATGTGTTGTTTATACATTAAAATAATGTCAATCTCAACAATTGATTTGAATATTGTTAAATCTAATTCCACCAATGTATAACTAAAGAATATTAAAATGAAACATTATTTATCAACAAAGTGGATCAAATTTTATTATTTTATTTTTCCAGTCTATTCTATAAACAATCACTTTTTCTATTCCTAACTCTAACATATCTGTTTTAACAAATACCTCTCAAGATTCCTTTGGCCTATTTATACTATTTATACTTATTTCTTTTTACTAATTTTGCTTCCTCTCTTCTCACAAGACACTCTAACCATCCAAATTAATTTTTTTCTCATTTTATCATCTAAATCAATTACATTTAGAGTCTTTCTAATCAAACTATTTCTGGTTCTATCTTTCAATGTTGTTTTATCTATATATTTAGGTATTCTAACTTCAGCTATCTGCATCTACTTAATCTTTTTATTTCTCAACATGCTATTCATTGAACAGCTGGTCTAATTACATGTAATAATTAGTCTTCCATTTCTATCATTCTAAATTTATCCCATTTACCATATCTAAATTAATTCTCTATCTGCAAGTAAATATAAATGTAAATATTTGACTTTACCATTTTATTTTGAATTTTTTTCCTTCTTTCTGAAACCCTACCTAATTCTAAACTCTGTTTAATGTATTTTAATTTAATAATTTTAAAATCCATTCTCTAACCATTAGAAATTTCTAATGGTTAGAGATCAATCATCAGAAATTTTTAACTAATCCCTAACCAACTAAAAGATGGTTAGGGATTGGTTAATAATTTCCTAACTTTGCTTTTTCTGCATTAAAAAGATTGTATCATTTTTAAATAATCAAACTTTCACTCATTGCTCAAATATTATTGACACTAATAAAGAATTGGAATACATTAGAGGCATAGCCAAAGTGCATGGATAAAGCAAAAAACTTATTCCAAGTCTAATGAATAGCATTCAGAACATGATTGATCAGGATAAATATCTAGCAGACAAAAAAGTGCATGGGCATACACATGAGCAAAAGCAAGTCATAGTAGATTTTTGCCTCACTTTACTACCGTGTTTCCCCAAAAATAAGATAGTGTCTGATATTAATTTTTGCTCTGAAAGATGCACTAGATCTTATTTTCAGGGGATGTCTTATTTTTTCATGAAGAAGAATTCACATTTATTTTTGAACAAAAAAATTCCCAAGTCGAACTTAGATGAGAGTGACGTATATCTGGTTGTGTCGAACTGAACTTAAATAAAACTGAAGTCACAAGCTGAAGTGAACTTACGAAGTTCCCATACTGGAGTGGACTTCCCACTCGTGCTTCAACTTAACCTTTTCATAGCATCGACATTGGGTTCAATGACCAATTAGTGTTTACTGAACCGTAGCACTATGCAAATATGATATGGCGTGATTCACGGCTGACCAATTAGCGCTCACCAGCCGTAGTAATGCTATGCAAATCTGTGATTCCCAAGCCATAGTCTTATGCTAATCATGCCGTGTGGCGTGATTGTCTGCTGACCAATCGGTGGCTGTACTTTCAAAAAGCTAACGGCCACTTTCAACCATCTGTCGATGACTGTTACCAGTAAAAGAAACTTTGCTAGGTCTTACTTTCGGGGGAGGCCTTATATTTAGGAATTCAGCAAAACCTCTGCTAGGTCTTATTTTCGGGGAAACCCGGTACTACAAACATATACAGTGATACCTTAGTTTCCATCGATAATCTGTCCAAAAACAATTGGTGAAATCCGAAACCGACAAAAACTGAGGCAATTATTTCCATAAGAATCAATGTAAATTTAATTAATTTGTTCTGGACACTCCAAAATACATACCAAAAGCACATTTTATAGAGAACAAGTGTGAGGCCCCAGAAAATAGTTCAAAAAGAAGAAGAAGAAGAAACAAAAAGGAATTTAAAAAGAAAAATGTAAAATTTGTTAAGTTAACCGTCAAGAAAATAAGTTATATAAGTGTCAAGTTGGCAATACTGGACTTTGACATCATCGCTCATAAAGAATAATGGGAAAAACAAAATTTTAGATAAAAAAAATTAAAAAGGGAAATATTTAAAACTTAAGATGCAATAAAGTAAAATGAAATGAAAATGTAATAGAAAGGGTGTAGGTGTCATAAACATCGATAAAGACGATCATAGTCAAAAGGATAGTGTTGAATAAACCATCCCGGGCAGACCTTTCTCGCGACCTGAGTTGGTCTCAATTTTCACCTAGAGACAGGTAAAAGACCAATAGGGGAGTATAGAAAGGAAAGCCCAACCAATTAGAAATAATTCAGTTCTGAGGAAACTATAAAACATGCACCATCAAGGATGAAGGACTTCCTCTCTAGTATACCTATTGTGATCATCACCCTCTTCTCTTTGTGCTTCTGCTCATCACTATCTTGTGTTACTTTACTACTCTAAACTCCAACTCGCCATTGCCCCAGGGCTCCACCACCATGAGATGAAAAGAAAACCACTAGAGACATCCAACTGTCAGGACTTCAACATCTGGGACCTCATCAATCATTTGTAAGCATGATCTTTGAAAAAATAAACGGTTTCTTTGTGAAACACTTGTCTTTTGCTGCCTTCTAAAATCACCACCCACATACAAGTAGACCTTAGTCCATCCTGACTAGAGGGAATAAAACCCCCTATATGGCAAACTTACACAAGTATAAGGTTTAATACTAAAAATAACAAGAAATGAATATAAAAGACTAATATGATGCTCTCTGAAACAGAATTGCCATCTGTTTTTCATTTATCCAAATTAATAATGACTGTTTGAAGAGACTTAAGAATGGGTAAAGCAACAACAGCTTTGATGAAGGAAGAATATGATTGAAATATGTATGTTAAGTAAGAAAAGACAAGACTAATGGGGGAGATAAGAGAGGATGAAAATTATAAGTGGGCAAGAAGACATTGATGTTTGAAGAAGGTTTAAAAAGAAAACAAATACATGGAAGTGACTGGTTGAAAGAAAGGTGAAATTACAATTGATAGGAATGATATTGGGGTTGGAAGTGGAGAACTGAAAGGAATGCAATAAAAGTGACTATTGGAGTTTATAGCTGGAGAAGAGGATTGCTTTTAAAAAGTTCAGAAGGGGAGCAGGTCAGTTTTTTTTTTGTTTTAGAAGATTGTGTATGTTATATTGATATGCTAATATTTTTTATGGATATTCTTGAAGGTGTAATTTTTTTTACTGTTTAATATCCCTGGAGATTTGTGGTAGAAACCTGAAAGTATTAGGATAATAAAGATGTGAACTTCAGAAAAGAAGTGTTTTAACTGAAGAAATTGATATAGGAATGTTTTATATATCATCAATACTTCCTAACTTCCCAATTCTTTTATAATAATTGCCTAACTATAAATATTGATTCCATTGTTGATCTATTATACATAAAACTAAATTAATTATCATCAAGTAATTTGATATTATAGATAGATGTTAGATGCCATCACTTATCAAAATGAATAATTATAATAATTTAATATTTATTAAATAATTTTTCAGGCCTATTCTTTTCTTCCAGACTATTCTAAAATTGTTTAGTAAATATTAAATTATTATAATTATTAATTATCATCTATAATTCTCAGTTTTATTCTATAATAGATTTCCTTAAAGTTTTTAATTTAGCTTATAAACATGTTAGCTTTATACTTCTTTAATTATCTTAGTCCCTGAATCTTATTTTTTCTTTATAAGATACTCATAGTACATTCAACATTTCTTCTATTCAAAAAGAATTTTTTTATTTTCATTCAACATGATTTTTTTTCTCAACATATAAAGACTATAAATTTCTTAAGACATTTATTATTCTTAAATATTTCATTTGCATGCATTGATTAAAAATATGTTTTATTATTTAGGGACATGTAGATTTTTCTTATGAAGTGTCTCGATCTATTAGTGTGAGTCAAGGGGCTATTCTACTAGTTGATGCAAACCAGGTTGGTCATGATAAATTTTCAGTAGTTAAATCTTGATTTAATAATTGTTTTTAAATTTAAGTTTTATTTTTAAAAACAATTTTAAATATTCAAAACTTATATACAGTAGAACCTTGATTATCCGCCCCCCGATCAACCGACCCCTCGGTTAACCGACCGTCCTAGTCGGCAAATTTCAAATGTCCGCTAGTGATGTGGTGCTACAATAGCGACGATTATTATTTTAAAAAATTTTTGTTAGGCTTAACATCGATGAAAATTCAACGCAAAATAGGTTAATAGCGATATACTAATATACTAATTACATGGGATATAATAATATACTACACTAATAATGGATTTTTTCATACTTTTCCGACTTTTCAATTATCCGACCAACCCCAGTCCCCAATTAGGGTGGATAATCGAGGTTCTACTGTACATATAAAATTTTTATCATAGTTAGTAATCATTAATTAAAGCACATTTAAAACTCCATTGATTACTACTACTGTACTAAAATATATTGTTTTTTAAACAGCTTTAAAAAATGTTTCATTTGTTTAGGGTGTTCAAGCACAGACAGTTTCCAACTTTAATTTGGCATTTATTTCTGATTTAACCATCATACCTGTTTTAAACAAAGTGGATTTAAAAACTTCTAAGCCTGAAGAAGTTATTCTTCAATTAAAAAACTTATTTGGGATTGATTCTTCTGAAATATTAAAGGCATGCTATTACTTTTAATAGAAAGGGTGTAGGTGTCATAAACATCGATAAAGACGATCATAGTCAAAAGGATAGTGTTGAATAAACCATCCCGGGCAGACCTTTCTCGCGACCTGAGTTGGTCTCAATTTTCACCTAGAGACAGGTAAAAGACCAATAGGGGAGTATAGAAAGGAAAGCCCAACCAATTAGAAATAATTCAGTTCTGAGGAAACTATAAAACATGCACCATCAAGGATGAAGGACTTCCTCTCTAGTATACCTATTGTGATCATCACCCTCTTCTCTTTGTGCTTCTGCTCATCACTATCTTGTGTTACTTTACTACTCTAAACTCCAACTCGCCATTGCCCCAGGGCTCCACCACCATGAGATGAAAAGAAAACCACTAGAGACATCCAACTGTCAGGACTTCAACATCTGGGACCTCATCAATCATTTGTAAGCATGATCTTTGAAAAAATAAACGGTTTCTTTGTGAAACACTTGTCTTTTGCTGCCTTCTAAAATCACCACCCACATACAAGTAGACCTTAGTCCATCCTGACTAGAGGGAATAAAACCCCCTATATGGCAAACTTACACAAGTATAAGGTTTAATACTAAAAATAACAAGAAATGAATATAAAAGACTAATATGATGCTCTCTGAAACAGAATTGCCATCTGTTTTTCATTTATCCAAATTAATAATGACTGTTTGAAGAGACTTAAGAATGGGTAAAGCAACAACAGCTTTGATGAAGGAAGAATATGATTGAAATATGTATGTTAAGTAAGAAAAGACAAGACTAATGGGGGAGATAAGAGAGGATGAAAATTATAAGTGGGCAAGAAGACATTGATGTTTGAAGAAGGTTTAAAAAGAAAACAAATACATGGAAGTGACTGGTTGAAAGAAAGGTGAAATTACAATTGATAGGAATGATATTGGGGTTGGAAGTGGAGAACTGAAAGGAATGCAATAAAAGTGACTATTGGAGTTTATAGCTGGAGAAGAGGATTGCTTTTAAAAAGTTCAGAAGGGGAGCAGGTCAGTTTTTTTTTTGTTTTAGAAGATTGTGTATGTTATATTGATATGCTAATATTTTTTATGGATATTCTTGAAGGTGTAATTTTTTTTACTGTTTAATATCCCTGGAGATTTGTGGTAGAAACCTGAAAGTATTAGGATAATAAAGATGTGAACTTCAGAAAAGAAGTGTTTTAACTGAAGAAATTGATATAGGAATGTTTTATATATCATCAATACTTCCTAACTTCCCAATTCTTTTATAATAATTGCCTAACTATAAATATTGATTCCATTGTTGATCTATTATACATAAAACTAAATTAATTATCATCAAGTAATTTGATATTATAGATAGATGTTAGATGCCATCACTTATCAAAATGAATAATTATAATAATTTAATATTTATTAAATAATTTTTCAGGCCTATTCTTTTCTTCCAGACTATTCTAAAATTGTTTAGTAAATATTAAATTATTATAATTATTAATTATCATCTATAATTCTCAGTTTTATTCTATAATAGATTTCCTTAAAGTTTTTAATTTAGCTTATAAACATGTTAGCTTTATACTTCTTTAATTATCTTAGTCCCTGAATCTTATTTTTTCTTTATAAGATACTCATAGTACATTCAACATTTCTTCTATTCAAAAAGAATTTTTTTATTTTCATTCAACATGATTTTTTTTCTCAACATATAAAGACTATAAATTTCTTAAGACATTTATTATTCTTAAATATTTCATTTGCATGCATTGATTAAAAATATGTTTTATTATTTAGGGACATGTAGATTTTTCTTATGAAGTGTCTCGATCTATTAGTGTGAGTCAAGGGGCTATTCTACTAGTTGATGCAAACCAGGTTGGTCATGATAAATTTTCAGTAGTTAAATCTTGATTTAATAATTGTTTTTAAATTTAAGTTTTATTTTTAAAAACAATTTTAAATATTCAAAACTTATATACAGTAGAACCTTGATTATCCGCCCCCCGATCAACCGACCCCTCGGTTAACCGACCGTCCTAGTCGGCAAATTTCAAATGTCCGCTAGTGATGTGGTGCTACAATAGCGACGATTATTATTTTAAAAAATTTTTGTTAGGCTTAACATCGATGAAAATTCAACGCAAAATAGGTTAATAGCGATATACTAATATACTAATTACATGGGATATAATAATATACTACACTAATAATGGATTTTTTCATACTTTTCCGACTTTTCAATTATCCGACCAACCCCAGTCCCCAATTAGGGTGGATAATCGAGGTTCTACTGTACATATAAAATTTTTATCATAGTTAGTAATCATTAATTAAAGCACATTTAAAACTCCATTGATTACTACTACTGTACTAAAATATATTGTTTTTTAAACAGCTTTAAAAAATGTTTCATTTGTTTAGGGTGTTCAAGCACAGACAGTTTCCAACTTTAATTTGGCATTTATTTCTGATTTAACCATCATACCTGTTTTAAACAAAGTGGATTTAAAAACTTCTAAGCCTGAAGAAGTTATTCTTCAATTAAAAAACTTATTTGGGATTGATTCTTCTGAAATATTAAAGGCATGCTATTACTTTTATTTAAATAATACTTAAATGATATACATAATAAAAAATATCAAAAATTTATTTATAGATTTCAGCTAAATTAGGTACTGGAATAGATATTCTTTTGGAAACAATTATAAACAAAATACCTGCGTAAGTCACTTATATTATTTAGAATTAATTAAAGAATGTTTGCTTTTAATCAAAAAAGTGTAATGTTTTATTATATATTTAAGTTTTTTATTTATTATTTATTTTTAAGTTACTATTTATATCAGTGATTTTCAAAGTTATATAGGCAGCAGACCACTTAAACAGAGTCACAGATGCAGCAACCATCCATGCCACATCCACTTCTTATAACAATGTAAGAGATAAATGTTTGATGAAAATACTCTTTCTTCTGGCTAAAGAGAGAGAATTGCATTTTAGATAAATGACTTAATCAATCTGTAGACCATCTGGTGCATGCTCACAGACTGTACTTTGAGAACCACTGATTTATATTAAAGTGAAATATATGGGCCTGGACAAACCCATAATGGGTTTGCAAAACGAGGCCTTCTTAGTGCCCACAGGGTGGAAAGAGTTAAAAAAAAAAGTCACAAGAGATGATATATCTGTAATTTTAATGTTTTGTTACTGTTATAATATTTATAAAAGAAACAAGATTGGTGAAGCTGATCTGATGGCATGCTCCACAAAAGTGAATCAAATATTAATTTTGTTTAAAATAAATTTTATAAATTCTTGGAATCAAGTAGTTGTTCAGAAGAATTTTTCACTGAATATACAGTAAGGGATGTGGTTTATAGATTCCAGAGGAACTGGATAGTTATTACTATAGCTTACAGTGACCATAAACGAAAATGTTCAGTTTCCTTTTGTGCACATGCGTGCACATGCACAATGAAGGGATTGAATGGAACATAACACTTAGGTAACAAAAGTGAACAGTGTCATTGTGCATGCATGTGGACATGCGCAATGAATGGATTGAATAGATCATAATCTCGAATATATAATGTCTGACAGACACGCAAAAGTCCTAACGTAAGTACTTCACTACTATAGTGGAGCGTGCTAAAAAGCATAAACTATAGAATCTGCTTATTCCTAATTATGGATATTGTTATTAGAGTTAGCATGTCCCAAAATATGTAAGTTAAAATATACTTATAAAACTTTGATTTTTGTAATCACAACTTCAGTTATAGTTTTTATTATCTTAATATAAATTAGTATTTTTAAACTGTCTTTTTATGTTAGCCTGAACATGTAACTAATTAATGTATAATTGTTATCAGGTATAATAGTCTTAATCAGTGCTGTAAATGTTAACTTTACTGTAAACAACATTTTTTCCATGTTTTGGAGATAGTTCTATTTGTTCACTTTTCAATGGCTTTCTTTTATTTGTTTCTACAAAATTCCATTTATTTATTTATCATCTACAATGGTTCCACCCATTTGTTTACAGTTGTGTGATTGTCTGTTTATTATAATGGTCAACATAATTCATTTCAATAGCTTCATATTTGTGGGGATTACATTTTGTAAAATTTTCATGAATATAAAAAGAAAAAGACATTGAAAAAATATATTACAGTAGAACCTCGATTATCCGGACTAATTAGGGATGAAGGTAGTCCGGATAAGGAAAAATCCGGATAATCGAAACAAATACTTTAATTTGTCTTTTAATGATAATACAACACGTTTCCTTTTCGATGACATATCGGTAATATTAAAAACAAATACTGTATTTAAATCGTGATCAAATTTTCAAGAAACAAATGTTTTATTGAATTTGGACTACTACTGACCAGCGCTAACAGACTAACTATTGTTTAAAAGGCCCTCTGGCGGTTCCAGAAGACAGATTTTATAAAATAAAAAGCAGTTGAAACTGCATTTTTATGAATAAAAATTTGACAAACTATTTATCATTTTATGACGAGTAAAATTTTTTCGTCACATTCTCGGCTTTTAAGTAATGCATAAACCTTCGAGGCGCGAGGCATAGATGGTGGCCCACGTTGCCCATGCCTTACGCCGCCCTTGATTATAGAAATGATGTAATTTGAGTATAAATTATTTATAAATACGTATGTGAAGTTATATTTTTATTACGACGCAAAATATATTTAAGAGTTTATGGGCACTGTGCCAGGTGAGACGTTGTTGAAACAAAAAATGTTATGCATTCCATCACGTACATAAACAGTGTCGTAATTCGCCAAGTGCAAATCATCAAATTTGTAAAATTTTTGTTTATTTTGAACAATCCGGATAATCGAAAATCCGGATAATAGAGGTCCGGATAATCAAGGTTATACTGTATTTGGAAATAAAAACATGTTTTTATGCACAAAATTTTTTTTACCAGATTTCTAATCTATCTTTGTTATTTTTTTAATGTATCTTATGGTAAATTCATTTACAACAAAAATGCAAAAGTCCAAAGTTGAAATTTCCTTTCTGTAAACAGTCCAGCACTTCAAATTTGTCTGAATTGGCATCACTTTCTCTGGTCTTTTTGAATATATGGGGAAAAGAAACAATAATGAAAATGCAAAAGTAAGATCTTAACACATGCAATTCATACTGATATACAAATATTAAATGTTATGTTTTATAAGTGCACTTACTAAAATAACTTGAAAAACTGTGATATAATATCCACTAGCATTGTGTAAAGGTAAACAACACAAGTTGCTGTACAATATTTTAAGATAAAAACATAAAAAAAATTTTTAATTGTCTATAAAATATTCTATTAAAGCAAAATGTTAGAAAAAAATATTTTATATATATATATTTTTTATTAATATTTTCTAATACTTTTCAAACTCAGCCATTGCTAGTTTTAAAAACATTTTAGAATTCAAAATTGGAAGACTGCTGATTTTTAATTTAAGTATAATTTACTTGTATACAATATACAAGACAATATTTCACTGGATTAACAGATATTATTGACATTGACTATTATTTATTAGACTAAATTATGTCAAATGTATAAAGTGCTTGAGAATTTTATATATGCAATATAGGCAAATAAAAATTTTTTTATTTGCCTATACAGTAGAACCTCGAAAACTCGGCCTAATGTGGACCGAAGGGTGGCCGAGTTTGTGAAAATGCCGGGTTATCGGGAATGGGGTTAAAAAAAATAAGTACGAGTGTTTCCTCAGAAAATACTGTACTGTACTTGTATGTATTGTTTACTTGAGAATATAACAGAGAATAAACTGCCCAAATACCCTTAAACAAAGGAAAAGTAC